CCCCGGCAGTGTTTCTTCTAGCAGTTGACAAGTTCTCGGTTCATCATGCAATCATGTATTTTAAAATGAAAGATGGGACCAAAAGCACTTTTGTGGATTTGACCTTGAACTGAGACAGATTGCCATTTGGGTTAACACCCAACAATATCCAATCTTCACTTCATGCATTTGCCATTTTCTTGGTGTTATTAACGATTCTTTTAAAATAAATTACATTTTTTAAAATGATCAAAATTCAAAACTATGGGATTGGTTTAAGTACACTTTTGTTTTTTTCCTCAACAAGACACTTATGCCAAAGCAGATAGATACGAGTATATATCTTAATCAGTGAATAAAGGAGAAACAACTAATTTGAATCCTATGCATTAGTGTCTTCAAAAGAGTTATTTCTTGGCTTATATAGGTTAGTGAACAACTTTTTGTATTCTACTTATGTTAATATTTGGTTTTGCTCCAAAGCCCATTTAACTGCACAGTCTTTGTTCAGGTTCATCAAACAAGTTGGTTGTTTAGATCTTGCTTTTGGTCCAAGACAGGTAATTTTAATATCAGCTTGGAAGTTTAAAAAATAATTATTCACTGACAGGGAGAATTTAACCCAGACATATTCTACTGTTAATTGACTACCAATAGACATAAAATCAATGACCATTATGTTCATCTGTGAGTCACATACCCAAGTAAAATGTTGAAATTCACTTGAATTTTAGGCAACTGATGGTAATAATAATGATAACTTATCAACGGCATACTGGTTTTTAGGCCTGATACTAAGTATTTCACATGTATTAGCTAATTCACTTCTCACATTTTGTTTTTTTCAACTGGAAACACATTTTATTTTGAACAATTTGAGGCTTAGAATAATTTTGCTCAAGGTCACACTTGTGGCATATCCAGGATAGGAATTCCAACTCAGGCTTTTGGATGGAAATGTATTTTATAAACTACCATACTATCCTGTTTTCTTGATATAATCAATTTCAGTGTCTTTGTTTTTCAGATTAGGAAACTGAGACCCAAATGATGGAATTGACTGAGATTAACAACTAGTTTCATAAATTGAAGGGAGTTTATCAGCACTAGAAACCAAGACTCCTGACTCTAAGTTCAGTGTACTTTTCATTACAATAACTTCCTTCTCAGACAACAAACTGTTGGTCCACATGAGCCAGTTATTTTCAGAATATTTAAGTGTATAAAAGGACCCCTTACTGATTACTCAGTACCAACACAATTTTAAAGCAATATTGAAAAAGCAGAGAATGACAGATACCATTTTCCCAAGAATTTAGGATTAAATTAAATGGAATGAGGTTCCTTTTTTCTACTGACCTATACTATATTTAGCTTAATTTCTATTTCCTTTTCTGATACTCTTCTAAAAGAGGTATTAGAACCATTGTATTAAACAAAACATAACTGTTTTTTATTTTCAAGTATGTTACTTGAAATTAAAATTATTTATATATGTTATTTACTTATATTATGCTATGCAAAATTCAAATCCTCTAATTTTTCTTCTTAATAAAATTGGCCTTTAGGTGGTATCATGATAAGGAACTTTCTGATAAATTTTTTTTTTTTAAAGATTTTATTTTATTATTTATTTGAGAGAGAGAAATGAGATAGAGAGCACGAGAGGGAAGAGGGTCAGAGGGAGAAGCAGACTCCTCACGGAGCAGGGAGCCCGATGCGGGACTCGATCCCGGGACTCAGGATCATGACCTGAGCTGAAGGCAGTTGCTTAACCAACTGAGCCACCCAGGCGCCCTGATAAAGAAATTTTTATGAGTCAGTCTTTCATTTGATTTTGATTTATATGCTCTATAAATAAGTGTTTGATGGACTAGTCAAGAGAAGAATATATTTATCATTTGTTAAAACATTTTATCTCCATGGAAAAAAAAATAGATATGTATCAAGAAGTATCTGAGACCATGCAGATTTCCTTCTTGCCCATTCATCATTCTGTAAATGTGCTGTGTGTATATAGTTAGGATGAAATTACCATTAGTTACTAATACTTATCAGAATTGGTAAAAATAAGAAAGGGAAAAGATGTTAATCATGCTAAAGCTACAAAGGAATTTATTAGTTGTTATTTCTTTCAAAGGATTTTGAAAGTTCATTAAATACAGTATTTTAAGACCAACTTAAAAATCAAGCATTAGTTCATTTTAATTGGATTAAGTCATTGCTTTGGGTGGCCCCATAAATTAAAGATAACTATTTCTAAGGTCAATGCCCAAGCCTTTGGAATGTTTGTGCTTATATATTTCTTTATTATTTGTGTTTGTATTCTTGTGTTTGCTCTTACGGCTTTTAGTGTGTGCCAATAATCTGTTTACTTTGGTAGACAAATAGTGTTCTCACAGTTTGAATGTGTAAGTCATGAAAACATAGTTTGGGGGGGGTTGGTTGTTTTCTGTTTTGTTATGCTGGGTCCCCATTGCCTAAATTAATACCTGGTAATAAAAATTGCTCAGTAAAAATTTATCAAATGAATTCTACTTTATTAAAACCTGAAATCTTTCAGGGTATCTGGTCTTAAGGTCATTTCAATGACTAAAGAGATGGATAAAAGTCAAATTTTAGTACAGGTTCCTATCATCTTTTTAAAATATCAGTTCAACAAACTAAATTTACCTGTGTAAATAAAATAATTTCTGAATGGTATTTAAACATGTTTGTCTAATGTTTAAAAGATACGAATAGTTTAGAATAGAGACTAAGATGATTTGTCCTTGATTATTTTTGACTATGTACTACAAAGAAAGCCAGATGCTGTGCTAATTACTTACCATGACATTATCTTACTTAATTTTTAGGGCAGTATTTTGAGGAATATCTTCCTAGTTCTTTAATAGGACTATTAAAGATATGAGGTTAAGTAATTTGTTCAGGATAACACAGCTAGCAAGTAGCAGATTCAGGACTTTCTCCAAGCCTTTACTCTGTACTGCCTCATGTATATAAGAAGTAAGCCCACAAGTATTCTAGACCGGATATAGTGAAGTAAGTCTCTAAGGACCAACTTTACATTTTTTTTAGTCTAACTATTTTTTAATTAGAGATATGTAGATTCTTTGGAATTGTGATTAGAAGCAGATAACAGATTATATCATATAATATTTTTCTCACACCTTTAAGAATTGAAGGATTCTGAGTAGGGTAATGATAGTTTCTCATTAGTTTTAGCAGGATTAATTTGGCTGGCAAATAGACGTCAGGGCAGAGGCAGGGAGAAGAAAGGAGGATATTGCAATAATCTAGGCAAGAGATGGTGACTGCTTAGACCAGGCAGTAAGTCTTAACCTTCATCCTTGAGCACTTGGGTTTTTTGTTTTGTTTTGTTAAGATTTATTTATTTTAGAGGGAGACAGTGTGAGCCAGGGGAAGGGCAGAGGGAGAGAGAGAGAAAGAAACAGACTCCCCACTGAGCTTTGAGCCTGGCTCAGTCCCATGACCCCGAGATCATGGCCTGCGCTGAAATCAAGAGTCGGACGCTTAAGTGAGTCACCCAGGCGCCCCCCGTGGGCACTTTTGCCAGTGCTTCCTGGAAGTGGTTACAACTGGTTGAATTTGGAATGGATTTTTAAAGTAGAGTCAGTGGTATTTTCTGAATGATTAGAGATAGAAGAAGAGAGGAGGGAGGAGCGAAGAATAGACTAAGATGATTCCAAGGTTTTGGTTTAAACAACTGGAAAAATTATGTTGCCAGTTCTGGGATAGAATCAAAACTTTGGTTTGGACCACTTTAAGTTTTAGACTTTCAAGTGGAGTATGTTAGTGAGAACTATTAGACTACCAAGTCTTTTTTAGTCAGTTTGCTTGAAGCTGGGCTTAAAGAACATACCTAAACATATCTTTGGATAAAGCAGCAGCTGTATGAATTACTGATGTTAGAGATAGAAACAAAGACCGTTTAGGTCAGAGTAGAAAAAACAGCCTTTAATCAAAATACCAAGACACAATTTATGAAAAAACATAGACTTTATATACTTCAAAAAGATCACAGAAATCATCTAATTCAGCTCCCGATTTTATAGATGAACGGATATTGAGTTTCTGAGAAATTTGGTGACATGTCCAATATTAAGGCCAAGAAGGAATAATTTTCTAATTCCTAGTTACCCTTCATAAGAGCATACTTCAGGTATGCTTTCATCCGTATTTATTGTCAAAAATAAAAACCACCTCTCTAATGATAATTATGCTTCAAATGTGATAATTTGAGGACATTGATTTATACCATAGATGTTACTTTTTTCTCCAAACTTTTTTTTTGATAATCAGATAACCTAGAAAAGGATTTGTATTTAAAGCAACTGCATAGCAGTTAATTTTCATAAGAAGTTAACAGCAGAAATAATGGGAGTCAGTTTTTTAAGCAGTAAAATATCCTAGATTGAGATTTGTGTCATATTTTCTGTAATTGATTGGCATCAATTATTAATGGTTCTTACTAGGTATGGAAAACTGTACATTTCTTAGTGTGGTAAAACAATTTTTTTTTAAAAAGCCAATTTAAATGCTCTAATGGAATGAATAAATTTATAAAGGTATCTTATTTTAAAACTCTGATAATGTGGAAAAGAGCAATTTAATATTTGATAGGTCATTTTTTTCCTTAAAGATAAACTTAGTTGCTCTAATTTGTGTCTTACATCTTATAGTAACTGTGGAATAATCATTACATTGTATGCTTGTGTTTGTGGTAAACCTTTTAACAAGTTATATTAAATTTACTTTTGATATTAAGTTGCTTTCTACAAATTACAGTAATATCAACCAACATATTCATTTCTTATTTCTAGTTAATTATTTTATTCAAAAGAATTATAAATAGGAGTTCAGATTTTTCTATTATTTCCCTTCATGGTATAAAATTAAAAATACCAAAAACAAAAAAAAAGGAAAAGGAAAAATAAAACTTACAAAAAGATCTGTTTTTCTGTAGATTGTAATTTTTGCTTCTTTGTCTTGTTTTATAGAGCTACATTCACGGAAGCAGCCAAGCTCAGTTCGTGGCAGAGTCACACATTATTCTGGTACTAAGTATCCTTAAAAATACTGATGGATTGAAAAGGACAAAAGTTGCATGCTATCAAATTGACTTTTTTTCATGACAATAATTATCAAGATTTTAAAAGGTATTAAAATTTAAACTTTACTATGTCACTTTCTAGTTCCTATGCTAATTATTTCTTATTTAATTTTGTTTTTATTCTGAGTCATTAACAGCCTATAATTTTCTCTTTTTTTACTGACTGTTGAATTGCAAAGTATAGCTTTTGCTCTGCATTGGTTATCTTTGGCTAACGTCTTTTCGTGGAGTTTCGTGTGGTTTTACCCTATAGGATGCTAACAGGGAGAAAAAAATGTCCTAAAATATAAAAAGCAGAATTTTAAAATACTAGCTTACTACTGGTTCCCTTAAACAGTATGGTAAGTCAGAAGAGGGAGATTTAAGATGGTTAGACATGTCTTTTTGGAACATACCAGACTAAATGTTATGAATCAGATAATGGAGTACAATTTATGTTTGGTGGTAGAAGGGCAAAGAAGACAAGATAGAATAGGAGAGAGGTAAGGTTAAAGTGTCTAATTAAAACCAATCTCTGAATACTCTTAGAATGAAATAAAGTTACTCTTTGGGTAAACAACTGTATCTTGGGGGGACACTAATGTTTGTGTGTCTTGAGAAATATTTGAAGGTTAAATTTATAATGTTGAACATATTGAGTCATCATCAGGATTTAAAGTGTGCCTATAGAATTGTTTATAAAATTTGATTACTTTCCTGGTTACTAAGATTCTTATTCAACTGAAGTAATCTAGCCCAAATTTTCAGTATTTTATATTATCAGAGCTATTTAAATCTTTAAGGAATCTTAGAACTCATCTAGGTCCAAACCTCATTTTACAGATGGGAAAACTAAAACCCACAAAATTTAATTGACGTGCTTTAAGTTGAAGGAAGAACTAGGACTAGAATTCACTTTTCTTTTTCATGGTCTATTGGTTAAGTTTCATATATGTTGTTATGGTCTGTGGTACAGGATTTCATGAATAAATGTCAGTCACGCCATTTTGAAGTTTTTACTTTTAATCTGGAAGGAAACGACTATCTTTAATATCATTAAGGTTTTTGTATTTCTCTACCTTATAACAGTGCATTTTTTAATTCACCACCAAGTATGTATTTTCTACCTTCAGCTTTTTAAGTAATCTATTTTATTTGCATAATATGTTCTGGACAGTGTGTCAGGTGTTGGTATATACTGAGTCTTCTGTTAATTGTAGTGGAGGAAAGGGGTAGGAGTGCTTAAAGCACTTTGAATTCTCAAGAAGCTCACAGACTTCCTCATTTATAAAATCAGGATTAGCCAAGTAACCACATGGCACTTCCGTGTGAAGTAAATGAGACAGCACACAAAAAGCATCGAGTACTCACTACAGGCTGTTTGGGGTTTTTTTCCCCTTTTATTTTCTCATCAGTTCTACATTTGTATTTCTTCCACCCTTTACACATACTTGTGTGCATATCTTCAGCCCATTTCTTGCTTGCAATTACCTGTGTGCTTTATTAAGAAGCTACTAGTATGAGTATGTTTTTGCTGTAGTGTGTCTCATAGATTAAAATCAGAAATATCAGTATTTGAATTAACATTCTCAAGTTTTGTGATCTTGATCCGTATGTGCCAGCTTTCTCTTTTCTAACTTTAGTTATTTATTTTTTTTTAAAGATTTTATTTATTTATTAGAGAGAGAGAGAGAGAATGAAAGAGAGAGCGCACATGAGAAGGGGGAGGGTCAGAGGGAGAAGCAGACTCCCTGCTGAGCAGGGAGCCCGATGCGGGACTCGATCCCGGGACTCCAGGATCATGACCTGAGCCGAAGGCAGTCGCTCAACCAACTGAGCCACCCAGGCGCCCTCTTTTCTCACTTTAATACGGTAAGAGATTCATACTTTATGCACATCAGAGGTGCCTTGAGTGAGAATATGAAATATTTCCAAATCTATGTATTGGATCATCTCCTTCTCCTTATTGGAAAATAAAGGAAGACCATCTTTACTCTTATCTCTCCATTATATAAATGTACTTATGAAGCAAAATACATTTGTGTTGAAGCATATTGTTAGGAAACAAACTATTTATTACAGGTAACTTTTTAGCTCTTATTTATATATTGTAGGCTTTTGTTTTCTTTTCTATCCTATTTCAGGCTATGATATGGCATTTTAGCAGTGTACTTTATTCCAAGCAGCTAGTCTATGAAATACATCAGGAGTACCTAGCAAAAAGCTATGTTGAGACCATCATTGTATGGCAGGAATTCTCCAGGGTTTCATTTCATGGCTCATTGACATCAGGCTGAGATTTAGGATGCAAAGAAATTTCACAGGCAATATGAAGTCTTCCATGTAGATTTTTAACAGTAATAAATGACAGATTTAATAGTACTTACTCTCTTTATGCTACCAATAGTTACTTGTTGCTTTATTCTCCTGGTTTGTTTGTTGTACAGATAACTGAAAAAGAGAAAATGTCTTTTAAAATGGTGGACTCCTTAAAATTGGTGAAAGTTAAAAAGTAGCCAAAGTAATAATTTCTGATTTTACTTTCACTTGGCAGACTCTACTGATATTTTTTAAACTTACCGTGTATTTTTCTTTTGTAATTTGCATGTGTATTTTTTCCTTTATACCAAAAAAAAAAAAAAAAGTAAATTCCAGATGGTCACTTTTTGTTTATCTGGAGAGAATATGCCTGCTTTTTGCTTTTCTCCTTCTGATTTAGTAAGCTAAATCATTAGATGCAATTGCTGTATGCAAAATTTTGTTGAAAAAAACCTAAGAACAGATGGAGTCATTTGATGTCATAGGTTATAGATTCATATTTACTAAAAATAAGATTTTTGTCCCTATTAGTAGTGTTTTATTTTCTTGGTACCTTGTTTAGGGAAAAAAAGAAAGAAAGAAAGAAAGAAACAGTCCTAAGTAGTTCACTAGAGAAAACTATATAAAGAAGGAGTAAGAAATATCACATTTTAATATGGAATATGTGAACTAAGAATAACTTATATCATCCTTTTATTTTTCCCAGTGAAAATTTGTTGTTACTTATTTTTCATTCAGTTATGTTTCAATACCTGATGCAAATGTAAGATATTTGCTGTTTACAAGAAGGTGTACTGATAGAAAAATAATTATAATTTAGTGTGACAAATGTTATAATGAGTGCTTGGAAGCACAAAAGAAGGAGCAACTCACTGCCTAGAGAACTTGCACTGACTTTTCAGCTGGTTTTGATACAGTGGAAAAAGGAGTTTCCCAGACAGCGAATGAATGAGAATATTCTAGTAGAAGGTCCGGCAGGTACAAAAACAAAATGAGAGAGAATATTCACAAATGCTTAAGAGAAGATTGATGAAAGTTTACTTTGGATGGATAATGAAAATCTTCCCATACCTTGCTAAGAAATTTGAACCTTATCTGAATTCACCAAGATGTGGTCTATATGTGCTAGTTGATAGAGGATACATGAGTTCTAGAACTGGCTTTTATTTTTTTTAAAACTTTGATCTGTCCCTTAGTTCTCCACATCCTTCAAGTTCTAGGGTCTCAAGATGATGACATGAGATAAACATCTTTTGGAAGTAGAAGTGCTAATATAAAAGACAAAGGATACACTAGCAATAATTTTAAAATATTTATATATATATACTTATAAGATATATATACACTTATAAAAATCACATTTGCTTTTTCTCTGAGAAATACATTTGTTTTCCATTTATTATAAATGAATATTATTTTACTTTGCATTTGTTTTCAATCTGTGATAGAGAGCAAATGTTTTAGTATGTTATATCCGAGGAAAAACAAACTACATATAAATTAATGATGGATGCAAACTGAAGATAATTTTAAATTTAGATCTCTAAGTCTTCTATAATATGCCAACATTTTTTTGACATCTGTTCTCATTTATCTTTAAATTGACATTCCTCATTCTCTTCCTAGAAGTTAACAGGAAACTTAACATCATGTACAACTGAGAATAGATCATAATATAGTGCAAATGTATTTGTTACTAGTTCAGTAGGATGCTCAGTGCCTCTGGGTACTATATATAATTTATACAAATAGCAGCTTCTGTTTTATGTGGGATTATGTCAATATTTTGACTTTTTAATCAGTAAAAGGTGATTGATTGACAAATTCAGCAGAGAAACTCAGGTGTGCACAGTAGTAAGTATATATTGCTGTGACATTATTCAATACAAATGAGAAAGTAATACATGAAGTAGACTGGGGTGTGTGTGTGTGTGTGTGTGTGTGTGTGTGTGCGCGTGTGTGCGCATAGGCATTAGCAAACTCAGAACAATAGAAAAAGTCTCATAGTTCATCCACTATATAGTTCCATCTCCTATTCTAATGTTGGGACTCTTCAATAAGACACAGCCGAAATGGCCACACCCACAGTTTAATGGCAGAAAATCAGCTGTTATTCCAGAGTTAAACATGGAAACTCCAAACTCTCAGATTTGTGCTGAGTCAGTCAACCCTCTACTCAGTGAAGGAAGCCCTACACATCAAGTCTGACAGATCATCATCTAGCTTTTACCTCTTTCTAAAAATTAACACTTTACCTAAAAATTATATTACAGATATGGGTTTTTTTTTTCCCAAATGATAAGTCTTATGTATGCCCTTTTTTAACCAAAACTTTTTTTCATTGATATATTGTAACTTAAGTTAAATAAGTTAAGTAATAATTCTCAGTACTCAAAGGCCTTAATTTAAAAAGTTATCTTTAAATAAAAGAGAGGGGAAATTGGCTAATTTAAAGCCATTTTACTTTAATTCATACAGCTTAATTACAACTATCAAGTTTAAAGTAGGTTCACACTTATTTTTTGGTAAAGCCTAGAAAACTCAAGTTTGCAGGAAATACTCTGAAGATAAGATCACACTTGTTTCTTGACCCTACTGCTTTAGAATAGAGTATTTTACCTTGGGGTTATACACAACCATATAACTAGTCATT